AGATATGTAATTGATTAGAAACAAAAGAACGGGGGTTGCATGGGGGATTTTAATAATTATTATAGAAAAATTATAAGATGTTAATTAGTCCATAGGTTTCTATTCCACTACTGTATTATTATTGTATTTGTGTAAAAAGTGTATCACTTACCTCGACTAGCTGTAAACGATGTGTATATAATATATACTTTTTGTGTGAGTCGATGAACGTTATTATCATAGTCTACAATAGGTACCTATTCAATTTAATAATATATACTATATTGTGTAAGTATGGTTATCATCTTAAATGTTACTTATATTGGTATTCAACATATTTTATATTCTTTAGTAATTTAATTTGTTAAAAATGTATATTAAAATATTATGATTGAATAAAATAGTATCAAGGATATAGGAGAAAATCATAGGCAGTAATGAAAATAACATAAGTGTTTTTTATATTATAAATATTAATATGAATATACCAATATAAGTTCATACCTGGTGTTTACATTAACCCAATATAGTAAGATTTTTAGTATAGAAATTAATTAATTTAATTTTTAAATAATAAAATAGTTGTATTTTAATGTATGGAGGTGTGTCGAGATCATATTTTTACTTGGACGTAGGACATTGTGCTTTGTCTTCAAAGAAAACAGCCTCCTGGCCATATCGTACTGCTTCAAAACATAATATACGTGTGCATGTCCAGAGCCGCAAACTATAGTGTTACGAGAGCCCTTGATTCCCTGTGTAGGTGTTGGTTATAATTATAACACTTAACATATTATATTGTGAGGTGAAGTTTGTCATCCTCACTTGGACATCTGAATTGTCTTGTATGTTCTTCCATATAAATATATAATATTGGTATGTGTTTGTAATTGGACGATTATTGTATTATATTGTTCATGGGTTATCGAGATGCAATTATTATTGTTTCAGATGAATTGTGGTGTACATATTAATTGTTATTTCATCATGTTTCTAGATGTAATTATTATTGTGTAATACCTACTAATTTTATGAGAATGTTAATTACTTTATAAAAATAATTTAATTGCGTTGTATGTGCCACGCCCAAGTATACTTATATTGGAAATTCGTTTTACAGTTTTATTCTTAACAAAACTTATATTAGGTATTTATATATATATATACAGATAAATTAAATACCTATGACTATTACAATTAATTCGGAAAAATAGAGGTAGGTACATCATGCATTCAGGCTAGAACATCGATACCTAATTTCCAAAGTATCAAAAAACTTATCAGAATTACATGCAGCTCTTATTAATTTTAACTCAAAGACAAAAGACAAACAAAGATGAATTATTTATATTGATCAATGACAAAACTAAAATTATAATTATATTTTCATGTGTTATTAATTTAAAATTTTTAATTACATGTGAATGATTTATACATTATATTATATTTACGGGACTTTTAAAAGCTGCCAATCACAATTTACTCAACTATGTACCTATTGTCCATGGAATGAAAAATAATAACTTAATACCTTTGGTATTTTCAATTTTGTTTACTTTTAGACAAAAATTAAACGACGTATGAGGCTTCTTTTCAATTAACATGTCAGTATTTCAAAAACTTAATTTATGTTTTTAATCTGAAAACTGCGTGTTTAAGGCAATTCTTGTCGCCGTAAATAGAATTAAGCCACCAGCACAACTTAGGGGTTGTCGTTTTTATTAGGAATAAGTGGTGAAGAAAAATACAATTATTTGGTTCTAGTTAATGGTTACAAAAATAAAAACTCTGTAATTGGTAAATATTTAAAAACATATTTAGGGCTTTAGTTTTTAAACTCGCCAGATGTCAATAATTGATTCACTGATGACTTAATTTTTATTTTACCTCCAGATTATCGAGTAGAAAGCTCTACTGATTATATTTTAGAAAATTATATATCGAAAGCTCACAATATCCTCCGGAAATGTGGGCCAAGAAATTAAATCAAAAACAAAGAAAAAGAAATGAATAAGAACAAATGCAGCTCTTGCAATCAAAGAAAATAACACAAATTGAATACTATATACCTACAATGTTTATCACAAACATTTTTACCAATATGAACAATGTTATTTTATCATCACATATATTCATTTTTTTATACACAAGTAACATTTAAATTATTCATATTATTATATTATAGTCATACATTATTACCTATATAATAAAATATAAAAAAAAAAACATTTTTAACTATACCTGTTACCTGTACCATTTTTTTTAATAGAGAGTCCTAAGTGTTAATAAAACAATAAATGATAACTTTACTATACCTATATAAAATATAGATATAGGTACCTACCTACTAGCTATACACTATTTTACATAAGTAATATCATTGCATATTATAATAATTACAATTTATTGTTGATGAGATTATTAATAATACTAGTAGTTATTTAACAAATAAATAATTATAATTATAATTATTATTACAATAATGATAACATCTTACATCACTATAACAATAATTATGAAATACTAAAATGTGGATGTGTTATCGCGGTCCCATATATAGGCGTGGTCCATTCTGCAATCTTTCCCATACTTGTTACCTATAGGTAGATTGCGCCATTGCGACTTAGATCATAATATGAATAGTAGTCTTATCTTAATTATATAATAAAAATGAAATTGTTAAATTATTAATGGACGATATTACTTGTAACAGGAGAGCTGCCACTGGTCTTTTATCTATTTATATTTTATTTTATGATATTCTCTATTATAAATATTTAATCCTCCTTTAGCTTAGCAAAACACTTTTTTTTTCATGTGAATGATTGTGCTTACTTTTTATTTATAGTGGCCGATGTGATGCGTTTAATATGCAAGTATCAATTAAATTACATTTGTTGCAGTGCCATGCCAGGGTGTGACGGGGCACTGGTGGCAAGTTCCCCTCCCCGAAATTTTTTTCGCTTGTCTTTCATTATATTATATGTTTGATAAAAATTAAAAGTTAAGGTTATCGAAAGTGAACCATTTTTAAGGACTTGGATTTAGGAAATATTCTACATCTATCGTTAGCGCTGTGTGACTCTGTGTTTCGTGACTGATCATTAGTGTGTGTGAGTTCCCCGAATGCTTTATGTAATTAAAGATAAGCTACGGCTAAGATTCTTGAAACTCAATGACGTTCATACGTATGGTCACACGTCACTACATTTTGTAATAAAAGAATATTCAACTCCCGTGTGCCACAAAACTTAAAAAAAAGTGGAATAAAATTTCACCCAATACCAAAAGCAATATTTTGATTTTTAAAACATAATTGAATTACTTAATCTCTTTCCTAGGTTATGTAGAAAGTGGATTTTTCTTTTGTTGTATTGTTTAATTAGTATATTAGGTACTATAGTAGGAGGTACCAAATTACATTTTTTTTTCATTCAAAATTCACTTTTACTTTAGTATTACTAAAAAAAAAACATAATTTGCTTCCTACGAAACACTGGCAAAAAGCGGAGATATTATTATATTTTTTTCAAAATTATAATTGGATTTCTGTAAGTATATCTTTTTTCGCTTATTGGTCTAAATGCACGAAAAACGACCAGCTTTCAACAACCTTAATATTGTCTTGTATTGTTGTTGGTAAATTTTAATAATATTTTAGTAAAAATGTAATTTTTTGTTTACAACACATTTTGATATAATGATATATTAATAAATCTATATAAATGAATACATTAACCTATGGCTTAGAACAATATTAATACATTTTTATATTAAATGTGATGGGTACCATTATTGTTAACATAATAATAGTAGATACACTTTATGAACAAATTGTATCGTAATTAGATATTCTAGCATTTCAAAAGCCAGAGAAAAAAATTAAGTGCCACGGCCTCCCCTCCCCCAAAAAAAAATCTTCCGAAAATGATGTATCATTGGCCTGGGCCCTGGCCCACTCTGCCACAACGGGCGTTTTGTTGAAAATAGTACCTAGGTAACTAAATAAGTAATAACGCTTTAGTACGCTCTTTTGATTTTGAAAATTTACACTAGTGTTGATTATAATGTTATAATCATTAAATAATAATTAGGTATAAGTAAAGGAAACTAATATGTTTTATAGCAACACAATATTTTTGTTCGATTGTAATATGGAAACAACTTATATGGGCGTGACGTCTTCTTAATAACAAATAACAATATTTATGAAATTTATTTATATAAAAAATACTAAGACATACACGGTTACGCGCATGTTTAGATACTATCAATACAAAAGAATGTGTAATACAACAAATTACAAAAAAAAGTCCTGATATATATAGGGTAGACACTTAGGTATTATAGGTATAATACGTGCAGTATAGGTATTACAACTCACATCACACAGGCAATACAATGTTTTGGACAAAAGGTGAGTAGTATGTTATAATACATTGTTATTTCTTATTGGTCCATGGCAACCACTTGTTGAAATTTTTATATCGTAGCTTCACTGCAATGCAGGCTGTTCGACATTCTGTTAGTTGTATTGGCTATCGTTCGATAGTTATACCGACATGTTGTTCGATAATATTGTAACAATGTAGGCACTTAATATTATAATAGGATATTTTTATTATTATTATTATTATTATTTTTAGTATACTGTTAAATTATGTAATATTGCATTTTCGATAAGTTTCACGGATGATTGTCGTTTATTAATAATTATAGTTATACCAAATTATCGAGACTATCGAAACGTTCAATTGGTAAGATTGCAAGGGCCACGGACTATCGATAGGTGACTCATCTCTACCAATTCGGGTGCGTACGGTCTTGCCGTCTGAACTCCGAACTCAGTTGTTTGAACGTTGACCACAGGCGTTGCATCACTTCCGATCGCCTCTCCCACCAAATACGAATTATATGCACACAGTCCGTGATCGTATTTCACGAAACCCACATTCCACAACACAAACACGTTTAATTCAATTTTTTTTCGATACAATTACCGGTTATTGTTGGCAGGTACGATGCAACTAAAATCTGAGCGCGCTCCAAGTGGATTCAATATGTAAGTCGCAGAGCGTTCTCAATACCTACTCGTAGTCTACCGTTGGTACTAATGTTCGATTACAATATTTTTGTTTTATTTTAGTAACTGGATCAATCTGATCGACAACGATACTGGAGTAGTATTGTGGTATACCAATGAAAACTAGTAAGACCGTTACGAATAATTTAATCACTTACAAAAACAAATTTCCGATTAGATTTTCAACTATATAATATATATATATTATATACATGCTATTTATACATTAATTATTAATAGTATTTATTATTATTATTTTAGCGCGTTGCCTGGTATAGAACACGAGGCGATAATGCCTAGAAAAGTATTGGATTGCAGAGCTATGACCAGAACCATAAACTTCTCATCCGAGCATCGAATAAATCATCTTAAATTAAAACACAAGGAGTTTTTACAGGTATAAACTAACATACTATGCATTTTTTACAATATAGACAAAATGCATTAGCACTACAGTTTTTTTTCTATTGTATTTCTTAATTAAAAAATGCATAATTGTAAATTTAGGGTTCTTGCATTGAAGAGTGGGATTCTGAATTCGGTACTGTCTTAGCCAAAACTTCTGAAACTTGGGAAACGATTTTTGTACCTAGCCAAGGAATTACATCGTCATCTGCAAATGTTTTAAGGTAGGTATACCTACCTAGGTATCTAAACTCTGTTCAAGGAGACAACACACCGATTCTGCGCATCCTGGCTTAGAAACCAGATATTCTACGACAGATGCGTAAAAGAACCAATTCTCATTGGTTCACGGGGTGTTCTTTCGTTGACCAAAGTATTGGTACCAGAATCTTTCTAAATTAAATTCATTTTTATTTCAATAACATTTATTTTTATGATAATAACGTTAAAAAATATACATGTCGAAGTGGTAATTGGATATTAGTATATTACCTACACTTTCCTAATTTACTTGAAATTTCTTTTTAGATTTTCCAAAAATGTATTATCTTAATCCCAGTTCAATAAAATTCTTAAATTTTACTATCGGTTTTTAAAATTGATATTATTACTTTCTATGCTAATCAACTACCGTAAATTAGGGTGAATATAACCATAGTGGTGGATAGAAACAAATCTAGAAAAAAATGTTATTAATTATGTTAATGACTTGATTTTAAATTTTTTGTGATTTTAACAATTTTAGTGTGTCACATAATATGTCAATTGGATCCCTTTTATAGTGCTCGTTATTGATAACTTATCAATGATAAGATTCATTGTATCTCCCGTGTTTATTATATAATGCTATCTCCAATAATTACGAATTGGGGACGAGGTGGCCGAGCGGTCTAACGCGTCGACTGCGGCGCTGGCAGTCGCGGGTTCGCCTCTCGACCACTGGGCGGCATTTTTCTCCGGGCAAGTCACGGTGTCCGGAGTACAAGTGCCGCCATCCCCCAACCCGGGGCATGGCAGAAACCTACGGGTGCCCCAATAAAAATTCTGCCACCACAAACACACACGTGTACCAACCTACCCAATCTAAAAAACCTACAATTCCCTACCAACACCCAATGGCCTATGTTGCCGCGGGTTATCCAATAAAAAAAAAAAAAAAAAAAAAAAAAAAAATTACGAATTATCCTGCATAATATGACAAATATTATAATTTTTGTGTTTCATAAAAACGTTTTCAGATTTTCATATACACACTCAACGTATTTACATCATAATACAAATAAATAAATAAAAAAAATAATGCATTATTTTTATAGCAGCGATCATAAATATTATATACAACAACTAGATAGCCTTCTCCTTCTTCGTCGAAGTCGGCCGCCATTTATAAAGCAGGCAATATTTACAAAATAAGTGTATCACGGTATATATATTATGTGCCTATATGAATAAATATAAACATTGCCTGATTTATAACTGGTGACCGACTTAAATATTGGTTACAACTGAACTATAGTATAAAGAAGGCATTTAGTTGTTGTAGTGGTAGCAATATATTAATACAGATCTGTAAATTTCAAAACTATTTAAAAGGTTTTTTCCTGTATACTTATTGTCATACAAAATTTGACAACTATTCTTTTAAGATGATATGAGGTAAATAGGAACACATTATTTTTGGGTTCGATTTTACTGCAATTTTTATGAAAATTAGTTTTTTTATATCTGTTACCCTTATACGAAAGGTGCCCTCTTATTAGAATACTTTTTAAAGCCCCAATTAAAATCAAGGCTGGTTTATTTGCCAAAGGATTTACTATTTTATATTTTTATTATTTTATATTTTGTTTTTCATTTTATTATAACACCTAATAAATTGTATAATGTTCATAATTTTTTTTTTTAAATATAAATTAAGTTACTATTGACCATTCTAATTTTATAAAAGGAATATCAATTGTTTTTTGACTGTGTTCCTGTGTTCACCTCATTTCCGGGTCAACACCGAACACGTTTCTGAAAAAATATATAAAAATAATTATTGAACTTAAATTTTATAATTGGTTCTCAATATGTTCATGTGTGTGTAAGTTTCCTTAAACAATTTTCAGAAAATGGATACTATAAAAATTGAATGCACAATCTTAAAAATAATTAAACGTTTCTATCAACCCTATTTTATGGTATTAGGTAACTACTTACTATTTTATTTAAAAACATTTTAAATCTTTAACTAATCACAATATATTATTATTCATAAATATAGTATAATATTGTTTTACACACCATGTGCACTGCAGTGTCTTACAAGAATAATTTTTTTTCCAGTGGTAATTTGTTGATAGAAACAAATTTCTACGATGGTGATAAATTAATAACAACATCAAACATCTTAATGTTTTATGATTAAACATCAACTCTGGTGCAGATTGACATCTTCACTTAGAAGGTATATATCATTGGGAACATGAAATTTGTTTTTATAATATTTAAATTTAAATTTTAAACCTATATTTTTTTTTTGTAAAAACTTAAAAGTGCTAAGTGCTGATGTTTAATTATTATGAATAATAAGTTAATAATAAGTTAATATTAAAATATTCATAGAAATATTAATCTATTATATTATTGATAACATTTATTTTATTTTCAATTGTACAATTCTTGATATAGATATAAATAATTTATCAGACATATTATACTACACTCAACATCAGATGTAATTTTGGAAGCTGATAAAACTCGGGACGAGGCATTGCTAAACATTTTGAATATACAGATGAATGACTCAGTATGGTTGACAGACAGGTACTGCCTGACTGCTGTCTATATAAAACATCAGCTCCAAGGTTACATCTTATGTTGAATAAAAGAAAATTCATAATATAGAAATCAACATATCATTGTTACTCAGTGTCGGTCTGGGAACTAGGCTCTAGGCTTAGGCGAGGCAAATTGTTAAAAGGGCCTCTCAAAAATACTATTTTACAATTTTTTTTGCCAGCCTTTGTGTAGTAAGAAAAACTAAATAGTTAAATGCTAATAATAATTACAAACTATATAAATCACAATAAATTGCTTAATATTATGCCGCAGGTTTTTATTTAATAAAAAAAAATTAATTTCAATACCTAGATATTTAAGTGTAATAATCATATTAATAGTTATAATTATAATTTATATTGTATCATTACTGTTTGTACATTTTTAAAAATAATCGTAAATAATCTACAAATGCAAAAAAAAAATACTGTACCTACAAACAAAGATTATATTTTCAGCTATTTTACATTTTACATTTTATATAATAATATTTACATACAAAATATATGTATAAAAATTAAATAAGCAGAAGTGAATTGTTAAATTGTACATTAAAATTTTTATATTAATAATCCGTTTAAGAAATTTGTTGAGCTTTATTGTCAATACATTCTCATCGACATTTTCAATATCTTTGACTTCAGCCATTATCATTAACAATCCCAAAGGTTCCAGCTTTATGATTCATTATACCTAGTTTTATTTTTACAATCTTAGATTTTAAAAAGCTGTCTCACATGACACTTGTATGAATGGTAACATTAATATAAATTTGCAAACAATGAATAAGTTACAAAACAAATTTGATTGAAAATATAATTATAATTATAACAAGAAAACCATAAATATTAAATATAATTTCTAAGTAGGAATGTTAATTTTGAATACATTTTTATATTGTATTAGGTACCTACTATATTTAATAATTTGTTAATCTATCAATATTATTATATTAACTATTAAGTTTAATTATATGACGTGTTGTGTTATTAATTTATTGACTTATTCTTATTGTATTAAGTCCAAGCCACAAGGCACAAGTTACTATATTTTTAAGTCTGTTGGAGATCTTGCCCCTTTTTACCTATGTACCATATATGCAACTTACGATAGGGAAATTTTTTAATCCAAAATTTCACTCTGCTCTGAGCCTTGCAAATCGTAGGGCGGCCTTACACAAGGACCAATAAATAGGCAATGAATATATGTAGGTACATATCCACAAAAGTATGAACATCATAGATCATCATCTTTTTAGTGTGTCATCAGTATGTAACTTGCCTCTGGAAAATTTTTAGTTTGCCACGCCACTGTACTGGTGTACCAATATTTAACTGTTGTAACACAAACTTATGAATTCAAAAAATAATAATACTAAAATAAAAAATAATTGCATATAGTTCATTAACAGAATAATATGTATTCAAACTCAAACTTAAAGCCTTATGAATTCAAAAAATACTAAAATAAAAAATAATTGCATATACATAGTCCATTAACAGAATAATATTATGTACTCAAACTCAAACTTAAATAATTCAGCCTTATGAATTCAAAAAAAAAATAATATTATGTATTCAAACTCAAACTTAAATAATTCAGCTTTATGAACTCAAATAATAATAATAATAACAAATTGTAAATAATAACAATGAAAACTTTTTTAATATCTATTAGATTTTTATGAAATATTCATTTTTGAGCAGAATATGGCATTATATTCCTAAAACATGTTTCTTCCACAAAATATTCTTTAACCTTAAAATATTCTTTTTTATGTGCTATAAAATTTTGTCTATCAGATCATAGGTAAATGAATCGTTGAGAAAGCTTATCCAATATTGGAGCTGCATACTCTCAGTATAGATATGTAAAAACATAAAAACTATAACTATAACCTATTGTATAATATAATATTTACCTATATGGCTATTGGCTGATACAATAATATACAATATTACTATACCTAGGTAATAAGTAAGTAGGCATTCCTTATCATAATGTATTGTTTAATCTTATAATATATTGATTTATAAATCATTATTTTATATTTATTACTAAATAAACTGAAACAACACTAGTATAATTTATTTATGAGATGAATTTATTGTATTAACTTATGTTTTATAATAAAAATCGCCTTTGATATGGTACAACATTTTTAAATTCTTCTACAACCTTCAGAAGCTTCAACATTAACCGTTAATTCCTGTTCGACATAAATGTTGTTACTTGTTTTACATAAAGTTGACGATAATATAAATTATGGTGTCTGTAAGTTGTTCGAATCACGACATCACATTAAATGAAATAGGTACCAAACTTGAAACTACCAAAGTATTATTTCTTAACCATTGGTATCAGCGAGGTGTCGGTTTCAGAGAAAAGGCAATATTATTTCGCTGAAAATAGTTATCACCATCTGGCATTCATTACTATAGTTATTATAAAGAAGTTTTCGTGTCAACGATAATAACATTGAATATAATTTAAGAAATAATGTTAGTCGATAAACAAATACGATGAAGTGCGATGAAATACTATAATTAGAAAATTATTCTGAACACTTGCAGTTTTACTAATAAAAACTGAAATGCAATTAATGTGTATGTATATTCTTAAATGTTATTAATTTTTTCTTACATTAGGGTGTGTCAAGGCACACTCTGTAGTGCCGCCTATGTTCATAACTCATATATCACATGGTACTATGTGAGTAAAATCATATTAAATTGAACATAAAATAACTCAAACTTATTATTACATTTACAAAATTGTATATATTTTTAAATAAAATGATGACTATATTTATTCATTTAACCATAAATAGTATTTTTAAATTTAAGTAAATATGTTATAGAAAATTGTTTGGATAAATAATAATAAAGAAAAAAATCTGTACTTGAACATAATACATAATAATGATTAAAAAAATAAAATAATAATTGTTATTAAAATAACAGTTCATAATAATGTTTAAATATAAAAATATAAAAATATAAATTTAAATATAAATATTTATTTTAAGTTATGATAAAAATAGTAATTAAATTAACTTAACAATTGTACGAAAAAAAAAAAATTATAAAAAAGACAAATTATTGAACATTGTATTTTCAACCCTTTATGGCATCATCTTATTTTGTATATTTCTATAGAAAACTTCAATATTTGTAATGCATTTTAAAATTAAAGTAAATAGGTAAGTATATTAAAAAGAAAACCTTACAATTTAAAATATAATATTAAAAAAAAAATCAGGAGATACTTAGAATATAATAATGATGGATAAATGAGTATACTTATGCATACTAATTAAATTAACTTAACAATTGTATGAAAAAAAATAACAGTAAATTAATATTTAAAATCACAGTTACTATTCAAGCTTTGTTGAGTTGTTTATTTTAAGACTTTTAAGATTTTAATCTCTATCTTATGTAGCATATTTTTCTTTTGTAAAATATTTAAGTAAATATTTACAACGAGTAGAAACTTTAAAATAAGCAAGGCTGGGCAAGTTAATGATTTTTTTTAACTCGGTTAAGTTATGTTAACAAAAAGTTAAAAGTTAAAAGTTAATTTAAATATGAATTAACTCGGTTAAGTTAAAAGTTAATATACACTTTTTGTTAACTTTTTATTAAGTTTAAAAAAAGTTAATTTGTTTATACAAGGCTAGCATACTTATTTTTTTCCAACCCAAAACTAAATTATAGACCTTATAGTGTTTATAATTTAGATTCCAATGATATACATTTTTAACTTTAAAAAATTCAAGGTAAATATTTTTTGACATGAAAATAGACTGAAATAGTGAAATATAGTAAAATTAAAAACAAAATAATTAACTTAACTTACTTCTTAAAATGAAAAATTAACTCGTTAATTTCAAGTTAATTAAAAAAGAAATTTAGTAAGTTAGCAGTTAAGTTAATGAAAAGCCAAAAGTAATTTGTTAAGTTAAAAAGTTATAATGAAATTAACTTTTTAACTTAACTTTAACTTATTAGCTCATTAATGCCCAGCCTTGAAAATAAGACAAAAAAAACTTACAATTTAAAATATAATAATAATAAAAAAATCAGTACATACTTAGAACATAATAATGATTGGGAAATGATTATATTTATGAATACTAATAAAATTAACTTAAGAATTTTACGAAAAAATAAAAATATAATAGGAAATTAACAATGAAATTACAAAAAAATACAGACATGTTCAACATTGTATTTTTTAAACCCTATGTTGCAACATCTTATTTTGTATACTTCTATTGAAAATTTAAATATTTGTAATGCATTTTAAAATTAAAGTAAATAGGTAAGTATATTGCCTTATTTATAAGTACTTATAAATAAGACAAAAAGAAAACCTTACAATTTAAAATATAATAATAAAAAAAAAAATCAGGAGATACTTAGAATATAATAATGATGGATAAATGAGTATACTTATGAATACTAATTAAATTAACTTAACAATTGTATGAAAAAAATAACAGTAAATTAATATTTAAAATCACAGTTACTATTCAAGCTTTGTTGAGTTGTTTATTTTTAAGACTTTTAAGATTTTTAATCT